ACACACATACGTCCAAATGATATAAATCTCTGTCTTGGAAAGATCCCTACACGACCATGTTTATCCAATGGTATTCACAATAGCTGAGATCAAACAACTCTAAATGCATGGTGGATGGTATATGATAAGATGAAGACGTAGGATGTAGCGCGTAGGGAGAGTAGAATGGCATTCAGAACTAAGAGACGGGAACCCTCTCACGTACTGCACTGTGAATGAAGCTGCGGGGCATTGCTTTCTGTGATGTAACTCGTGGAAAGGCAAGCACACTGCGACCTCACAGCTGGAATCTAAAGCAGTTGCACACTCTTATGCTTTTGTGAACCTCAGGCATCAGAGAAGGGAGGGGAGAAGGGCTGGAATGGAAACGAACTGATAGTCTAGAAAGCAATGTTTCCATTGATGCTTTCTCCTCCTCTCGCCTTTGACATCATGAAGATATCTGCCTTAGACATGCTAATGTGGGTATGGAGGGATAGTTGATAGTTGAGTGGAGAAGAGCTCTTGCCGCACAAACATGAGGTCTTCAAGTTGAATCTGTAGCATCCATGTAAAGAGTCACACGTGTCTCTCACCCTAGTGCTTAGGGAAGAAGAGAAATAGGAGGAGGATCACTGTGGTTCCCTGAATATCTGTCTTCCTCCAGGACCCGCTATTGAGAGACCTTGCCTCAAAACTTAGCCCTCTCACTTTAAGGCCCTGTCATGGCTGCCTATTGTATGATGCTATAAATCTCTTAATAGTCAAAGAACTGAAGGGTCCATCTCCTCATTCAGAGCCCCCATCATACTGCTTACAGCATGACACGATAACTATCCTAAAAAGCTGGGAATCAAAGGGTTTACGTCTTTTTCCAGTCCATCATAGCTGCCCATCATGGCTGCCAGTGCTCTGATGTTAACTGTCATTCTAATGAAGCTCTTTTGAAGACCGAATTGTGTCCGTTTCTTTTCCATTTGACCTATGACATTGTCTATAATTTATCTAACAATTCTCTTAAAAGATTTTCTTTTTGATTAGGTATGCGTGGATACCCATGGAGGCAAGAGGTGTTGGATTCCCCCTGGAGCTGTAGTTATAGGTGATTGTCTGCTACCCAGTGTGGATGCTGCGAACTTAACTAGGATCCTTTATTAAAGGACGATATTTCATACTTTACTATTACTGCTGATGCATCTCTTTAGCTACTATTATCCAAAAATCCTGGCCCACTTTCTTAGGGTGTTCATGAATATCTCATGGTATGTTAAGCTTATAACAAACTAAACAATCTTCATTCAAATCTGAGATACTATTTTATTGGTCCATTAACTTGGAGATCTGACTCTAAAGTTGGTGTTCTTTTGAAAGGGCCTTCTCAACAGGTTAGTTAATCGATGCATCTTAGGGCATCACAACATTTTGTTCAGAGTTTTGTCTCTTTCGAATTTTCGTTCTTCTTGAAGCTTACATGATTGGTCCCTCTCTTCATTTTCTACTGAGTCTCATTTTAAGGGGTGACTATGACAGAATGGATGTCTTCAGGGAGGTGCTATAAGAAATATAATTCTGGATACCTGTGAACACAATGCATGCAGTGGTCCATTTCAGTTCTCAAATAAAGTGCTTCTTTAGAAGCCCAGAAGTGACTTTCATTAAAGAAAATAATTTTCTGCAAGAGGAATATATTCCTTTGTTAATGAAACAAGAGGAGTTGGCCTTGAGGATTAGAGGATTTATGATATTTGTATAACTTATAATGTATGACTTAGAGAATAGAAAAACATTTATGAGGAAAGTGTGGCTACTGCTGATATTTCATCTTATAAACTCATTTCTTATTTGGCTTAAGCCTTGATTTATTATGCAGTTAAATACCCGTGCATTGATGCTACCCTGTAAGTTTAAAAGTAGCATTTTGTTCATTCCAAAATGATGAACATACCAAGAACACAGACATACATTTAGTACTTGAAAATTCCTCTTTTCCAAAAAATGATAGGAAAGTTAGGTTGCAAAAAATGCTTTAAAGTCCTTCTTAAATGTTTTCACTGAAAATTTTGAGATGACGTACATTTGAAACAAACCTTCTAACACCTAAAGGATGAGGGATATGTTCTTGGGTTGACATAGTTGTGTCCCATGATATAAGAAACTTCTGTTCTTTACAAACCAGTTGGGAGTGGCCAGAGTTATAACAGGAAAATAGTCTGTGAATATTTAAGGATAAATATATTCATTCTTTGGATTAAGAACTTTGTTTTACTGAAATAAAATTTCATTCCCTTTTAAAACAAGCAGCCTAGACATCATATAGTTTTATTTAAACTCTCAAGATACTTCTAGAAGCTGATTACTTCTTCTTGAGAGAAAAGCAAGGTAAAGTTAAGAGTATGATATAATAAAAGTCTTTGGTATGTTGAATTCATAACTGGTCGAAGTACTAAGTATAAATAACTCAGTACTTAACTATGTCTGGTCTTAATAGACCTCCCACAATCCAAGTCTCCAGGAACTCCACTGAGGAGAGAGGGGAAGAATGCAAGTGGTAGAGGTTAGGGAAGAGAGCTTTGAAATACTGACTTTTGGACATGACATGAGTTCTGCACATACAAATGCACAGTAGCTGTGGCTAATCAAACAAGATTTGTGTAGAATGAAGTCAGTTTAAATTTCAACACGGATGAGGAAGGAGTACTAGCAGAAGGAGGGAGAGTACGTTCCTCCGAGGATATGACTGCTGATAGATTGGTCATGCCCTCAAGAATGGCCCCCAACATACCTTATGTGCATAGATGGAATACTAATTAGACTAGGAGGTTATTAATAACACAAAGAAAAAAACAACTTGAAGCTAGGAAGGAAGATGGGGGTACAAGTTCCAAGGGGAGTTGGAGAGAGGCCCAGATGGGTAGACATAATCAAGACATACATCTTATATAATTGTATGGAACTCTCAAAGAGTTGAAAATATAAAGCTTTTTTAAAAAGTAGATGAGATTTGAGCATGCTTTAGTGCTCAGGGAATGGCTATACGTCATTAAACATAACACGGACACAAAGGTGGTAATTTAGGATGGTGAATTATCACGCATGTGAATGTGACGCTATGGACACCATGAAGTGATGTACAGAGATTGAGCACACACAAAGATCAGTATATAGCATTCACGGGATTCAGCTTCCCATTGTCAATTTGTCATCCTTAGTAAACCCCGAGTTTTTTCTACCTTGGATGGGCAGCAGCCCTACTGAAGGTGTCTGGTTAGAAAATCGTAGTGCCTCTTACTTGAAATTCATAGCTAGCAACTGTAACTTGGTTATTCTACTTCATATCATGGGCTCTGAAATGTCCCAGGACATCATTTGTACGTTCTTTTCTCAAATCCCTCATGCTTCCTGGTCCGTCCTCATACATATAAAACATCCCCCGTGTAATTTGATTCAGAGATAAACCATGCTAATATCAAATAAGCTAAAACCGTCTGTCTCTACATGAGGAACTCAGTGTCCTGTTTCTCAGAACCAGAGTCATTTTTTTTTTTTTCTGGTTCTGAATTGGTTTTCTTTCCAGTAGCCCCTTTAATCAGAAGCTCAAAGATCAGTCACAGAGGACATGGGGCTTTGAGGCACCTGTGCCAACACCTGTGGACAGCAGGGGTCATAGTTGCCACAGCTTAACAGGGGACCCCACTGTGCACAGAATAGCCAGCCTGTTTTGCCTTTGTGTTTAGATTTATAGGATAATGAGTATGGAAACCAGGTTTGGTTTGAGAATTCTCTCTGTGGCCATATTAAAGAGCTCAAAATCTCGCCTTTTCCCTTCTGCATATTTGCATAATTGGCTTCAACATCCTTTTCCAGACACAAGATTTTTTTTTTATTTGAAGACAGCTATGTTCTGAATGATGGTATTCCTTTAATCATCATCAGACTAGAAAGGGAGTCTCATTAGGGCCTTTAACTTCTTCTAATCAATGTTCTTGAAAGCAACTTTTTTTGAATAAATGAATTTCATATTTTAGTGTGTGCTGAAATTTATTTCTCCCTTCTCTTTAGAAGGGATGAGTATGGTTTTTGGATTTTCCATTTTGTATTAAGTATATAATTGCTAAGAAATTATTGTTGCAGATCATCTACCAGTCATTTGGCTATAGATGGTATATGTTACATATATTAGACATTTAACGGGCATCTTTGCATCATTTCCTATAATACACTGGGAGAGCTTGTACCATATGGTGCAGAGTGTTTGATACAACAAGTTGTGCGTTAACCCAAGATATTTTAGGAGATCAAAATGCCAGGTAAATATGTACAATATATGAAGAGGTAGAAATAACAAACAGATGAAATACGCAATCATTGTAAGTTAAACTGCGACTGTGAACAGAAACCGGCTACATCTTCATAAGACTTACTTTTGGTAGAGCTCATTATACTCACATATAGCCACTCCAGCCTTAAAAATACCCTCCCTAAACCCCAAACTGAAGACAACACGGCGTATAGTATTTTTTCCCCAAATAAACATTTTTTTTTGAAATGACAATTAAAAAAGTACAGTTCTAGAGCGAATTACTTTAAAGCGGTGAGAAGAGACTATTGCAGTATTTTACGAGTGTGATGTTGACTGAAAGCAGGCAGACACAAGAGAGAACATGCAACGCATCTGTTTGTGTAAACACTGTTAGCTTACAGACAATTCCCCTAGGCTCCTCCCAGGGATCAAGCGATGGCTTACGTCATCATCTGCCGCCCTTACCTGCCACGGAGTGTGGGCAGCATATTAGAGAACGGCTCGCCACCCCAGTTCTCTCTCTCTGTTCCCATGTGTTCCCAGCAGGTCTCTTTCTCTCCTTCCTATCCTTCTTTGTCCCTCCTCTTCTTTGCCCCTCATGGCTCTGCTCCCGTCTGTCTGCCCGTCTATCTGTCCTGGTCTGGCTCTACCCCTTGTCCAGGTCCTCACTTCCCTCCCATCCCCCAAATAAACCCACTTATACATGCCACGCATCTCAGTAGCCATCAAGACTGAAGTGTCCAGTGATTCGAGAAGTCAGTCATGGCTTGTGTTTGTAAGATTTCAGGCTTTCTGGAACGTTCTCTGATCAGGTAAGATAGTGACTGTATACTATTCTGGGTAGTAGCTTGATTGATGAACACTGAACAGTTGATAAAGATGTGAACTGGGTCCTTTCAACACATGCATTGTACTCTTGTATAAAGTTAAAACACCTAGAGGTCAAAGAGGAGTTTATTATTGGCTGGAAGTTTATTTATAGTTGGAAGGGCTCAGCACTGGGCGGTAGTTCTTGTTGGCTCGCTGTGTGACCTTCAGTATGCGTCGCCACAATTCCACTTTTGCCAGGGCTCTTTCTATTGTTCAGACTTAGTGTATTGTTTAAACTCACGGAGCACTTACAAATAAATTATGGTTGGTGTTATCAATTTACAAGTTCTTAACCGTTAACTGGAGTTAATAGTAAAAATCCAAGTCCTTTGTGTAGGTAAGCTGTCTATTACTGTCCAAGCAGGAACTGGAAGCAGCTAAGTGTGGCATGAGTACAGGCAGGGGAATGGTAACGTTGAGTTTTTCCAAGAAGCATGCTGATATTCCATGATTTCTTTTGTCTGCATTCTGTCTTTGTCTCCAGTGTCTGCATTAGCATTTCCCCAAAATCTCTGAACAGACACTCCATAGAAACAACACTCACTCTTAATTCTGACTGCTTCTTGCTTCCTATTCTCGGGCTGACCATCTTCCTTCCGGACATACGCACTTAACCTCCATTGCCCTTGGAAGGCCGTGGAAGTCATCTGTAGATGCACCTTTACCCTGCTTGCCTGAGATGGCCCCAGGACACCTCGTGTGATGTTTTGAGAGTTTTAACTTTTTTTTTTCCTAATTAAATTTGGTCACGAATCTATTGATAATCTTTTCATACAGACAATGAATATTATCCTCTGGCTTCTGGGGTGTCTGTGGTTTCCCCTAGTCCCATTCTTCAGGGCCACCTTGCGTCCCCAGGAATCTCTCTTATTTCTGAGGCATAGTAGTTAGTGACATTTTTATTTCTCTCTAAAACAGATTCATACAACTGAAAAAAAAATTAAAACAATATAGACTCTCCCGGTCAGCTTTATTGATAGGAACCACTTCATCCAGATGAGAATAAAATATCTTTTGTAGAAATATTTGATAAGGAAGGGAATTAAGTTATTTCCAAAGCCTGTTTATGGCTGGCTTTGAATAGTCAAAGCAATCTGGCTCTTTGTGGCAACAGCAACACATGAATGATTTGAATGGAAGAAGCTGGAGTTTCCACTTGTTTGAATAAGGTCCACTTGAGGACCTGAGGACTTGTAGGTGAGTTGCTTCCTCTTGCTCATCCCTTTTTCACCAATGTTTAATGCGAAATCACTCTCAGGGTTAAGACTCATAAGAGCACAGCAAAACCTGCCCTGAGGCATTGCTATTTTCTCAATATTTGTTGGAAGAGATTCTTCACTGCAGTCCATCAGCAGAGACACATTCTTGCTATCGAGCAGTCCCAGAGGAGACATAATTTTGCTTTTTAGAACTAACTGTATACAGACACAGTCAGATTCAGCAGGAGATGACAGTCACATTCATGACGACTGACTGACCTTGCCTCATGTTTACAAGATGAAACTAGAGTATTAGATAAAGACACGTTGGAGACAATGTCAGAAATGCAGCAGACGTGGGCTGTTTGCTGTAAAGAGTGGGCAGGATAGGCAAGGAGATGAAATGTTTGCCTTTCACGATATTTTCTTTTCAGTATGAGATAGTTAAGGTTCTCATGGAAGTTCATGGTGCTTCAGAACAGTGAAAGAATTTGATCTTAAACGCTTGGGTGTTGGAATACAAAACCATATTTAAAAGATGTATGAAATATTATTAAACTGATTTCCTGGTGGCTTGGTTATTTAGGTTGGTGGCCATGACAAATAATGTATTTATTTAAACATACTATTGGTGTTTGAGGTCATTGTACCATGAGGAAATTTTCAAAGTATTGTTTAAAAAATGTATTATGCTTCTAAGAATGCTGGATTGATACTTTCCAATGCTTAAAATGTAATGAAGCTTAAGTAATTAATATACTATTATAATTTATTTGTTAATGAATATTCATTAATTCACTCGAACTCATTCAGTGTTATTCTAAGTGATTTGATACATGTCACTGTAGGCAACATAGATGGCTAAGAAATCATCTATGTGCTTTAGACATTTCTGACTTCCTAGGTCCAAATGAAATTCATGTTGGAACTGGTGTCTCAGTGCCTTGCTCCGAAAGTCAGTCCTTGCTGTCAGGAAAAGAAGGAGATGTTGAACTGAGTCTTGACGGATAGGTAGTAACAGTGAGGATTCTACTAGTCGCTAGTAATGCTGAGGACATTCTAAGAGAGCAAGACCCGAGGGCAGAGAGCAGAACAGCAATCCTGGACCGAGATCATTCTCGTTATTGGTGTGAAGATGTCAAACATTTCCTAGTTTTGTAAATAGATGGTAACCTCATCTTGTTATAGGAGCTATGACTTTTCAACACAGTTGGCTTATAGAAGGCAAAAGATTCGGAGCAAGCATAGATGAGTGTGCCCTGTTCTTTTGAATTTCTGTCATGCAGTCCATTTCCCTACAATGACTACCTACTTAGGAATAGATGTCTATTCTTAAGTATTCCCACTAATACAGTAACAGTTATTTCCTGGGATTGGAATTAGATAGATTGTAATGAAATCTTTGGGTAAGAGCCAGTACTAGACTGCTGACAGCTTACAGCTAGCTGTAGGAAGAGGTGGAGAAGAGAGGCTGAGATGGTCACGTTGGTGTCAAAGTGCTTGACTTACAAGTACAGATACTTGAGTTCAATTCCTAGAAACTTTGCTGGCCAACCTTGAATCCGTGGCATGAGAGGGAGCCCATACCTGACACTGTTGATGATATTCTGCTATACTTGCATAAATTTCGTCAGAGGGGCTTCACCCAGCCACTGTTGGAAGCTGATATAGAGACCATCAGCCGAACATTGAGTGGAACATGGGGCATCCTGTGGAAGAGGGGGAGGAAGGGTTTCAGGAGACAGAATGGTCAAGGAAACCTTGTAGAGTCAACTACCCTGGGCCCATAGGGCCTCACAGAGACTGAACCACCAACAAGAGAGCATGTATGAAATGGATCCAGCCCTCTGTACATAAGTAGCAGTTGTGCAGCTGGGTCTACATGTGGGACTCTTAAAGCAGGAGGGGAATCTGTCTCTGACTTCACCTGCCTTTGGATCCTATCCCCAAGACTGGGCTGCCTTGTCTAGCCACAATGGAGGAGGATGCCCCTAGTCTTGCTGTGGCTCGATTTGCCTTAGACTGGTTGATAAACATGGGGGCCTCCCTTTTTCTGGGGAGAAGTAAAGAGGGGTAGATGAGGTGAGAGGGAGGGACTGGAATAAGAAGAGGGAAAGCTGCGATCTCAATGTAAAGTGAATAACTAAATTTATTTAATAAAGTAATAAATAAGTAAATCAATAAATTGAATAAATAATAAAAGTAAATAATTAAAAAATAACAAAAAATGGACTTGTGGTCCTGACTTAGAATCCCTGTTGATTGCTGGTCAGGAAACGTAGTCTACTCAGTGAGTTCCAGAGCAGTGTGGGGGTAGGCAGAGAAGGAAGGGCCTGAGGAATCACCTGCAAAGTTGTCCGCTGGCCACAACATACACGTGTGTACACATATACATGTGTGTTTGTGTATGTGTGTGTGTATGTGTGTGTGTGTGTGTATGTGTGTGTGTGTGTATGTGTGTGTGTGTGTGTGTGTGTGTGTATGTGTGTGTGTGTGTGGCAGAGAAAGAGATAGAGATAGTATAAGGGTCCGAAAATCACTGAAGGAATATCCTGGGCTCAGATAGTATGCAAAAACAAAGAGGGTTTATTCTGCAGAAAGAACCAGCATGTGGGAGGGTCAACTGTTCTCTAAGATGTGAACCCCAGACAAAGGCACGCAGGCCTTCTTATTGGGACCTGGGAGAAGTCTCAAGAAGGATTAGGTAATCTAAAATTTCATTGGTGGGTGCTAGGGGGTCGCAGGTGATCAGTGGTCTGCATTTCTATGACATGTGATGAAATCAGGCTGCCCAGCACAGATGGCCCATTCTGAGATAAGATATTTCCCCATTTTTTGTGGTTATCCCTACTGGATGTTATGGTCTGTTCCCAGAGCTGGTGTCTTATGACTTAGTTTCTGGGACTTATGGTCTATTCCTGAAGCTGGTGCCTTATGGCCTTTTTTTGTAATCAGGCCTGGTCCTTAAATAGAGACAAATGGGGTTTATGTTGCTCTTTTGACAGATAGATACATCTAGGTAGATAGATAGATAGATAGATAGATAGATGATAAATAGCTAGCTAGCTAGCTAGATAGATAGATAGAAAGAAAGATGTTAGCAAAGCAAAGGAAGAAAGGAGAAAAATGAGAAGTAAAGATGGAGGTGAAGCCTGAATGGTACCCAGCATCAACTGTTTTCTGTCTTATCCAGTGATGACTCGTCTTGCCGTGTGATGTCAGTGAGCTCACAGGTCTCTGATGTGTGCAACTGAAGCAGCTTGAGCAGTGAGCATCATTGTGATGACGGGCAGTTTCTAACTATGAATAACCCTCCCTCACATCTCTCTACTCTGCCTCTATGTTTTTTTTTTAAAAAAGATTTATTTATTTTATTCATATGGCTACATTATAGGTGTCTTCAGACACACCAGAAGAGGGCATTGGATCCTATTACAGATGGTTGTGAGCCATTACATGATTGTTGGGAATTGAACTCAGGACCTCTGGAAGAGCAGCCAGTGCTCTTAACTGCTGCGCCATCTCTCCATCCCCGCTTCTACTTTTGAACACAACCAAAAATTAAATTCCCAGAGTCAGGACACAGCTATTTTCTTTCTCTTTGGGAGGAAATGCTTACTTTCCCCTTTTCCCTTAGCGCAGCTGAGTCAGGATTTCTTCATCGAGTGACTGCAGGTCAATAGACTCCTCTCGAAGCATCCTTGACTCTGTCATGCAGCAGACAGAAGGCAGCAATATACCTC